TTGGCATTAAAACTGTCCCAATCTGAGCTCAAATCCACCAAGACTCCTTCCTCTCCTGATCCTCCTGGGTCATGAGACTTCCATTGGCTGTTAGCGTTTTTCTTTGACTGTTTACATATGCTAAGGAACTTTTTCATCTTAAAAGGCAAAGCTAAATCTTACCTCAATTTCACAGTTTATAGAATCTACTAATCTCAAATTTTTATTTTATGTGATGGAATTTCTTGAATTTATCTAATCTGTTCTCTTCACCCTTCTTAACTGGCCTGCCATGTAGCTCAAAGAAGGCGTCTACTGAGCCTTGCTGCTTAAAATGGCTGACTATAAATATATACTTAAAAATGTGAAAATACAGCAATCTACAAAGATGAACATATGATCCCAGAAGTTTTAAATAGTGAATATGTTCCTGCTTTATTGCAGCTCTTTAAAAGATAAATACTAGTTTGATGAATTTTAGAAAGAACACTGTCACAGTGGATTATCTGAGAACCAGAATTCAATTACATGTGCAAATATTACCTAGAACAAACAGGGATAATTGAAATTCAAGGATAATTTCTTTTCTTTAAACTTTGAATTGTCATACCCAATCAAGTTTCTACTCAGAACAGCCAATGAGTGGTGTTTTGTAAAAGAACTTCATTTCTTCCCTCCCTCCTGTAGTTAAAATAATCAAACTAACTGAATGCTATAGTAATAGGATTTAAATGGGATGGGGGAGGAGACTGCTTTGTAAAGAGACAGGAGGAATGGCTGGTCTTTCCTTCTTTTCTGCGGCCTAAATTGAGGACACACAGCGCTGAACATCACTAAGCTCATAATTACTGCAAATATGTTTGAGCTAGGGCCTCAGGTCAACATGTGAACTTCTAGAGTTCTCGACCACTTAGAATTATCTGGCAGATCCAAGTTAAAACTGACCAAAGGGTCTTCCTATAGCAGGAAGAGAAATAACTAGGAAATTGGTAACAAAGCATGATTTTTGTTTGGAAGAAAAATGACACCACATTTCCCCTCCAATTTTCTTTTTAAGACACATTTACATGTTACAGGTGGCAAAGGTCTACCAGGGGATGACTAGGAGGGGGAAGTAAGGGAGTATGTTCTAGAAGAGCAATCTAATAATACAAGAGAAGTCACGATTGTTTGTTTTGTTACTATAGAAGAATTGGAAAGAACAAAATGATTTTTAGGGTGGCTTAATTCTCCAGTTCAAAATAGTTTAATATATACGTGCCAGATTTAACAGTACTCCAATATCACAAAGCTATGTTATAAATCCTACTAATGATCATTTACTCCATCCACTCACCCCGTGATTCCCACCTATGAAGAAATGTTGTCACTACTCAGTCCTTTATGAAGACCAAATGACAGAAATGCACAGGAAGATCTCATAAGCTTTTCACAAAACATCCTGCTGAATATTTCCCTTAATTAGTACTTAGTCTGTTACACCATGGACACAGTCCAGCCATCAGAAAAGAGAGAATGCACGTGTTTTTGCTCTTAAAACAGAAAGACCCACATGGAAAGAAGGGTCCTTTAAAAATAATGAACATTAAGAGATTTCAGATGGGGACATTGCCAAAAAGAAAATGATTGCCCCAAAGCACCAGTCTCCATCTTTCCTTAAAAAAACATTTAGCCAAACCAGCGCAGATGTAGTCAGGCTTTCGGTTTTATATTTTAGCAGCGAATCTCCACAACTCTATGTGAAATTGAAGTTATTGCCCTTAATAAGAGTGCCAACTCCTTTCTGCCAAGAGATCTGTTTGTGCCAGCTTGTAGCTACTGCGCTCAAGCCAAAGATGACGTTTGTTTGATTTTTAATGTGGTGCATGTAAAGCACTTTCATGTATGGAGCATGCACAAGAAAATGACTCCAGGAATTGCCTTAAGGCTGCCTTGCCTGTGTTTAGCATGGAACGTGGCTTGCCAGGAAGCTTGGATGGTTGCTGTGTTATGGTGTGGGTGTTTCATCAGCACTTAATAATGGTGCCAGGTTTAATGTTTGCTGCCATAGGTAAAGGGAAGGAACACAGTTTTCCCGAGAATAACGAAGCAAGCATATGACAAGAAAGGAAGTGCAGAATTCAGGATGAGTTGCATATTATTCAACTTATGCAATTTCTCCCCTTCTGTGCTTCATGTAATATTATTTCACCAAGTTTTAGTTAACTAAGCATAGCTTTAACCTTAAATCTCATAGGAAATAAATCAGGTGATTTCTTTGATTTTTTTTCACCCCCAAAGAGATTTCACAAAGTATGGCAACTAAAGCCAACCAATTAACAACAGCCACTCCTGCCCAGAATTTTTACTGGAGCTATGAGAGTCAGTCATATGACAATAATAACGAAAAGCCCTCTAAAGAAAGAGGGCCTCAGTCACAAACTCTGTATTTTAACTCCAGTACAACTGACAAGTGCTATCTTACAACAACGTTTTTTGTTACAGCTTGTTAGAAATTGGTACGGGGGCAGGTAGCTGATGCGAAAGCAGGGCTAGACAAGTGGAGAGGTCCATATGTAGAAAATCTGAGAAATGAAGGGAACAAAGGACAGCAGCACCTTCCCCTGTCGCTATGGTGAAAAAGAGAGATTTTGATACAATTTCCACCGAGTGATCCCTCACTCAAGTCTAAAATAGAGCACCAACATGATCTGATCATTACACCATACTGATAACCTTTGTTACTATTAACATTAAAATACACAAGTGAATTTTTTTTCTTCAATTTGAACTGAGATTCAAGAGCTGATTTTTTTAAAGACAGAATCTCGCTCTGAGGCTGGTCAAGGGCTTGAACTCACAGGAAGCCTGCCTTAGTCTCCCAAGGATTGCTTTGCATTAACTTATCACATAACATTCCTTTATTGTGTGTTATATTCCTGAATATAATAGATTTACATCCCATCTATAAGAAAAGGTATATCATATTTACATATGCATATAATTGAGACAAATTTCATTTAAAATGTAGTAATTTGCTTCTTTACTTTCTTCTGAATATATTACCATAGCAACTGATGCATGTTCCACCATAAGGACTTATAGATTACATTTTGAAAACATATTTCTCCGGGGCTTATTTTTAAGACTCACTCTTCAGCAAGGTGAGTTCCACTGAGGATGAGGTCAGATATTATTAGAACACTCACAGAAAATCCCTGGCTGATAGTTTTTGAGAGTCTCAGGGTTACAAGTTTAGAAAACCTCGCTCTTTGAAAGAGTGGTCATGATTAAACCTGGCAAATCTTGCGTAAAGCTTCCTTTGTTAATCGCTTTGTAAAATCCTGTCTTAATGGATAGTTCCAATTTCATAGTCCCTAAGATTGGCGGGCATGGATATTGAGGGACAAAAAAAATCAAATTAAAAACTAGAATTTATGTAGTCCTAGAATGTTCTATGTGAACTAGACCTCTAAGAGGTGACTAAGCCAAGGCCCTCCCCCTGGTTTCTTTTTGTTTGTTTGTTTGTTTGTTTGTGAGACAGGGTTTCTCTGTGTAGCTTTGGAGCCTGTCCTGTCCCCTTGGCTTCTTGTCAGAAGGCCACAAACTGTGACAGGGCAAGGCAGGGCAAGACAGGCCAGAGGGTCCACCATCTTGTATTCTTGCTGAGGCCATTTCAGGTTTAACTAGAATTTGATCTCCTTGATGAAGAATCCTGTGGAAAATTATCCAACTCAAGGACCTGAGGCTAAGAGGCTCCAGCTAACTTGCCATAATAACTTCTGTTAAACTGCCTGCTTGTGCAGACCAACCCCTGCAGCTGCCCAGTGAGATGCCAGGATGAGCTTTTGCCTTTAGAAGTCCCTTGGTCTAAATGCTCAGGCTCTACACATAGATCTGAACACCTGAGTGGCATCCCAGCCAGCTGGAATAAAGACATTCAACTGGCTATAAACTCTGTCTGTGTGGTCATCTTTGATGGGCTCCCTGTAGCAAAACAGCTTGGGTCACTTTACAATGACCGACGGATAAAGAAGTCCCGCAGTGCACAGGTTTTCAGCTCTTGAGGATATATATTTGTATTGATGAAGGTTTCTTTGAAAACAGTATACCTCACCTTGTTAGTTAGCTTTTGTGTGAACACATGCATACTGTGACACACTTTGAGTACACCCCCTCAATGTGCATAGTAAAAAATATATCATTGATCAGTTTGCAAGTAAGCTGGCATATAGCTGCATATATATGTATATGTACATACATATACATATTTACACACATACATACATACATACATACATGTATATGCTTTCTGTCTCTCTAGTTCTCTTGTTAATTTTATTCTCTGTCTTCTGTCACCTTAGTAATTTGGTAATTGAATGAAGCCATAGTGACTCTGGCAGTTCCAGACTTATAACAGTGCTTGGAATATGTGTAAAAATGTAAAGACATCTCAGGGAAATTGCTTAGTAAATGGCTATATGCAGACACTGCCTTAGATAGTTCTAATTAATTTATTTTTAAGTAGCAATTCCCGAGCACCACTAAACAACAAGGTACTTAGCTGTGACAAGGGCTTGGTTTTCCTGAGGGGCGGAGGAGCACCTTCAGAGCATGGGGTGGTTAAGTTGAGACTGTCTCACAGAGGTTCAGGTATTCCAAACACTATGCTATATGGAGAGGCTGTAGAATCCCTGGGAGGTGGAGTCTTGCCGGAGGAGGAAGTGTGTCCCTGAGGGTGGGCTTTGGGTGGTCAGAGTCCTTGACCCACTTCCGGTTCACTCTCCCCGCTTCACATTTATATCTGAGACTGTGATCTCTCAGCGTCCTGCTCCCACCACCAACCCTACGGCTTGTTGCCACGCCTCCCAACTGTGATGACCTCTTATTCCTCTGGAAAGTTGCCTTTGGTCATGGTATTTTATCACAGCAACAGAAAAGGAGCTAAGACAGAGAAGGAGAAGGTGTGAGGGAAGCCATCTTGGCTTTCCAGTGCCCTGGCTTCTGCACCCACAGAAGATGGGCGGTGCTTTCCCCAGTAACAGATGCTGCGGAAGACATTCTCTTGACTTCCGTGTTAATTAGCTCTTACAACGCTGTGACAAAATACCTGGCAGACACTGAAAGAAGGAGGGTTTTATGGTTTCAGAAGGTTCAGAAGTCTGTGCTTGCTAAGATCTATGTTCTTGGGCAAAACACAGCAGGAGCATGTGGTGGAGGTTCTTTACCTTGTGGTGAACAAGGAGGAAGGGAAAGAGCTCACAGAAAGGGGCCAGAGCAAGGTAGATCTCCTAAGGAAACTCCCTCAGTGCTGGTAAGGGTCCTTTAGTGGCTCTATTCTTTTTATTTTATTTTAAAAACATTTTAAAATTTAACACAACCTCTGCTTACACTAATAACCTTTTGCTAACATTGTATTTATTTAAAGTTATATTAAAGTAGTCACTATGTTTCACAACCAATATTTCTTTTAAAAGTTGTTTTCACACTAGAACTTGCGAAGCTGATTGTGTTACTCTCCCTGACATGATGTGGCATATTCTGTTCGTTTTTGACTTGGAACTCAGTGGAGTATGCAGCACAGAGTTTGACGGGCAAGGAAGTAGAGAGAGGGCTAGACAATGGAGGAACAGCACTAGTGAAATTTCAGAAGGAGGCTTGCACGGGGAGTATGCAGGAAGGGTGAGAACAACGTGGCTGTCTGGGTGAGATGGCTGCCTCCAGTCAGAACGGGAAATAGGAAGAGTGAGAAGGGGGTTGGGTGAGGAGGGCACTGGTCCATCAGGAGGTGAGGTGACAGTGCACAGACTCGGTCGGACAAGTCTGGGGTTGCTGGAGGTGGCAGGACCTGGGATCCACAGCCTGTGAGTGGGATATCAGATAGAGAAGGGGGCTTTGACAAATGCACAAACAGCAGGCAGGGAGCTGGGCCCAGGAACAAGGCCCGGAAGTGCTTACCGGCGTCATGGTAGTCTCTGTGGAGATGAGGTGGTTTCTCATCTCTCCAGGATAGTTTTGTGCAGTGTGGGATTTCATGTGTGCAGGAGAAGAGTCTCTTCCTCACTTCTGGAAGAACTATGAGCTTTGTGTCTTATGTGTGCACTGCCACATACCTTTCTTACCCTTCTGTGAAAAAAATACAGGCACAGCAATTTTTACCTCATAGTTCTTTCTCTGGGGTCCAGATTGTATGGCGGGTGCTTGATTTTATTCACTTATCTCACTACTTTAAAAATTACTTATTTTTAATTGGCAACAAAAAAGTGTACATATTTATGGTGTATGCTCTATTTTGAAATATGTTAGGTATTATGGGATGGCTAAATGAAGCTAGCTAGTGTAGGCGGCATCTCACATTTAACATCTATTTTCTTCTTAGCTCTCAAGTGCAGAGTGTGTCATCACTAATTATGATCTTTATGTATAGGCAGCAAATCTTTTGAACGTATGTTTGTAAGGGCATTATATTGTTATTTTAATTCAATTTTTATTCTGCCTTATCTGGAACAGAGTCTTGCTTTTCAGCCCAGGCTAGCCTCAAACTTACAATCCTCCTGCCCGAGACTCCATAATGTGCCACCAGACTCTTCAAGACACGATCATGGCTCTTTTGAATGCAGACTTTCTTTTTTAAATGATGTTCAATTAGTAGATACACTCAAATAGTGGATTTCAATAGACATGCTTAATAACCAATGTAGAAAATGAGCATTCTCAACTACCAGAATTTACTCAAGACTAATTTACATAAAAAGGAAAATGAAGAGGCTTAGGTTCACTAGGAAAGCTGAATATATGACTAAACTTACAAAAGAACATAAACTAAGCAAAGAACAGTTAACACCACAATTAATATTAACATCATGACATTCTTCACAACATACTATCCTCTGTTTTGAAAGAGGAATTTGCAAGAGTCAGAACAAGGAAAACTCACTAGCTCACTCTAAAGTCTCTAAGGTTTTTTGAAGGCAGAACCAGCCGCAGCCGGGAAGGGTTAGTGCTGGAGGTCTGCAGGCAGAAGCTACTATAGTGACAGTGACCAGTGAACCTAGAGCTGGGATCTGAAGTAGAGACAGAAAAAGACAAGCAATCTGGACCTCAGAACACAGAGGAAGTCACCAAGAGTCTTATTTGGTCAGAAATCATAGAAAGAAGGGAGGAAAAAAAAAACAGTCCTGGGGAGAGTAGAAAAAATAAGATATTTCATAGCATGAGAAAACTTCTGTGTTTAGTCTTTGGAAACAAATGAATCAGAACATCCTCAGACAGAACCTATGGTGTCTTAACCATTGTTCATTATGGTTCCCACCTCTCATGGCAAAGGTCTATTTTATTAGCACTGAAACATTACCTCTAAATGTTACTCTCCTTTCATGTCATTGATACTCCTTAGCTTATCTGGTACAGATAGATACATGCATGTGCTTTGTCTGGGGGCATTTCTAACAATGTACAAAGTGGACTTCCTAATGCTAAAAATTGACAAGATCTGGATTTGGCCAATAACTTTGTCATGCCACTCACTAGACCATGTGAGCTGTTTCCTTGGGCCAGATCTTGGAGAATGTCAGGTCTGGTGCCACTCAAGGTGGGTAGGGAGAGGGTGGTCAACTGAATGCAAGCTACTGGTTATTTGTTTTCATCCATCCTTGAATGTCCATTGTCTTCTCATTTATGAGTTTCCCTACTCTCTATTATGGGTTGCAGTGCGCGGCATTCCCTGTCCAATTCACCTTTAAGCCCTAGTACTCCAGAATGTAGCTATGTTTGGAAACATGGTCTTTTAAAGAGGTAATTATGGTAAGATAAGGTGATATAAGTGGGCTCCATACAATTTTGTTGTCCTTAGAAGAAGAGGAGCTTGGGCTGGTGATATTGTTCTGTTAGTAGAGTGCTTATCTAGCATGAACGAAGCTCTGGGCCCATCCCCAGCACTGCATGGATTAGGTTTGGTGGCACAGACCTAGAATCCCAGCAGGAAGGTGAGTTTAGTGTCATCCTTAGTTGCACAACAAGTTGAAGGACAGCCTAGGCTACATGTGACCGGGTCTCAATAAAAAAAGAAAAAAAGATGATGAAGAAGTGAAAGAGGAAATGGAAGGAGTTAGGTCATAGACAAATGCAAAAGGAAAGGTAGCTGGCTAGCTAAAGAGAGAGGTTTCAGAAGAAGTGAGCCCTAGTGATACCTTGATTTTGAACTTCTAGCCTCTAGGTTATGGAAAGGTAGTGCTTTCTTGTTTATTCTGCCCATCCTGTAGTACTTTGTTAGTGACTAAACCTTTTGAAGACAAGTGGTCTTCAGGAGTCTCCCTCTATTCAGCATCCCATGCCTCAACACTTGTAGGCATGTTATCACTTTAGTCACCCCATAATCCCCCTGTACAAGGCTGTGTGACTAAATTACCAAGTTTTTATTTACCCACCAAGTCTTCGGCTGCCTAGGAATCGGTTTCACTTGTCTGTCCTGAGGCCACTCTGCTTAGTGTGTCTGCAACAGCTCTTGGTCTGATGACATAGTCACTCATGACACATTGGGTCACCTGGACTGGAAACTGTGAAGCTGTTAAATTGTACTTTCTCCATGTTTCTCACAGGCAACCAATCATTACCTTTCTTTGTTGCAACTTCATTTTCTGTCCTTAGCCTTCTTCTTCTTCTTTTTTATGCTTCCATTTTGGTTGGCTCCTAGTGCACCTATTTCCTAGGGTGGTCTACAGTGAATTTCTCATTGGCCCTCCTGCCTCTGACTTGACCCACTGCTGTGCATAATGCACTTAACTACAAACCAGTTTCAGCCTCAAAGGCCCTTTATTGCCCAAAGCACAACTTGGAAGGTTGAATACGATTTGGTTCCTGATCACCCTCATTACCCATGATCACAACGTTCCCTCCATTATCTACTGATGTTGGCCATGCTTTTGTGTTCTGTCCAGGGACACTCTCTTATTCCCACCTCAGTGATTTTGCTCAAACAATTTTCCCTTCTTGTGAATCTCTTCCTTTTACCAACCTTACCCATTTTTGAAAGGCAATTTCCTGTCTAAATCCCATAGGAACCTTCCTTCAGAGTCTTCATGGGTCTGAGTCCACAGGGCTTTATAACATACCCTGTCTCCCATCTCATCTTGAGTCACATGGGCTCTCTGCCACACGTGGTACCCTAGGGAAGCTCCCTGTATCTCTGGCTCCAGTCATGACCAGCTCTTTCTCCTTTCCAGGGGAACTGCAATACTGCTTACACTTCCATTTAAAGCTCCCTTTGGAATCTTTTTTTTTTTTAAAAAAAAAAAAAAAAAAAAAAAAAAAAAAAAAAAAACAAGAAACCTCAAAGGCATAAGGTCTTATTCATGGTTAATTGAAAAGTAACTACTAAATTATAAGCAATAAAAAAGTCATGCCAATTATAATGTATGGCCTTCACAGGATTGCCATTTTAAGGTTCACTTTTGTTTGAGCTCCATTTTGGGGGGCATGTGATTTTACAATCTAACTTTCCTCCCAGATTTTACTTCTTAAATGCTAAGCTTTTGTCTTTTAAAAAACTCCATGTAGGACTGTGCATCAAGAGGTACTCTAAATGTTTCCTATCAATATGAGAGATATGTAGGTTCAGGAGGATAAGCTCATTTAATAGTAAGCTGATAAATCTGAAGGATGAGTTTACCATTTGGTGGAATTTTTGTTTGTTTGTTTTGTTTAAATAAATGTGGAAACATCTGCTTTTGGATTTTAGGGAGACTTTTTTCTTTACATTTTTACAGACTTGAAAAACAGTTGTGTGCCATTAATATTCCAGTGTGAGTCACCACTCCACCAAATAGCTGGTTGGCGCTAGCCAAATGCTCTTTAAGTTCCACTTCAGGGAGGGCTCACCCCTGCCCCCACCCTCCCCACTAGGTCCAGAGAAATGACATGTAAAACTTTTTCTGGAGTATTTTGGAGGTTCAGTTCTGGCTTTGACACAGAAAAATCTAAAAGACACCGGGAAGACATCAGGAGGTCATTGTAGATGACAGTATTTGCCTGTGTGCGCTTTGGTGGTCCCCCGACACACTCATCTGTTTGCCAGCCATTCCTGTCTGTGCAGGGACAGCTCCAGAACACTCTACCTCATATTCAAGTCCATCTACCAGCTCTTCCATTTGGGATACCCTGTGGCCTTTGGGCTTGTTTCATGTTCTGTCACTATCTGCCATACAGGCACAGAGTCTGCATGAAGAACCATCTGCACTTACTCATTTCAGTAAACACAAGGGGATGCTGAGTATTCTTGGTAAAGATGGAGACACAGATCAATCCTTACAACTTTCT